CGTGGTGCTCTCTGAAATACAAATAATAACGCTAATAAGGCCCAGAAGCTTCTGGATTGAACAATACAAAACTAGCTTGTGAGAAATGGTTTCTGCACAGGGGACCGTATGTTCTTAAACAAGATGCATTAAGTGACTTTTGCAAACAAGTACTCACAGAGGCAAACCAAAGGAAACAAATACACATGATTATGAGGCTATCTGTAAATCTGAGTTTCAAGAATGTCTTGAATTTACAAATAGAAACAAACATAAAGATGTTCAAGCCTTACCAAGATTTGCTTGCTCCTGCTCCAGGATCACGAAGAGCTGCATGTGCTGTTGACACCCTCTGGGTTGGATTAGCCCCCCAAATAAGATGCAGGCTTGCATCTGCAGTGTTAAAGATGGATGAAATTTCCAATGCTCTTTCTTGAAGCTCCCCCAGCCTCCCCTTGATCATGCACTTGGAAGCACATACTTGACATCCCCAGCTCACTCTCTCTGCCTTTCGCAGACCTGATGGGCATGCAAAGCACATGCCTCTAGTAACATGAAGGAGCATGTCCCAGACACTCCTAGGGAAGCCTATGCCTGGCTACATAAAGCTTTCTCATGATCTGCTGTCACTGTTTTGCAGTGAAAGTTTAGTAGTTTTGGATTGTCATTTGGTTGGAAAGTAACCTGAAAAGCTTCCTCTGTTCAAATCTCATTTTATTGTCATAAGTGACTTGGACAGAACATAGAGGTGCAACAGACTTCAAGCAAACTTTTGGCTGAATTTAGTGATAATTCACCATGATTGACTCTATTCCATAATTTATCTTAATCTCTCCATCTACTTTTTAGAAACAAAAATTGCAATCATCTCGTATTATGTCATCCCACAGAAGATAATCTTTTTAAGCATTCTCATTAATATCGTATATGTATTCTTCAAGGGTCGTCCTGTTGTTGCCTTACAGACTGTACCTGTCTGCATGACTAAGTCAACTTGCTCCCGTCTAGTAAAACATTAGAATAGTTAGTTTCTATTGGTACATTTTTACAGGCTGTGAATGAACCATTGCTGCTTACTGAAGGAGAAAATTCATTGGTGGCATCTTCATTCCTTGTGATAATGAAGATATTGGCTTACACAGTGAATGGGTGTTCCTTTGCCGTAGAGTTTATGTTAACATTCACAGTATCAATTAAAGAACATTTCAGGATCAAATATGTAATAATAACTGGAGGGGCTGAAATAATTGCTAGGGTTGGGTCACAGTGATCCAGCTCCCAAAATACATTTCACAGACTACTGATGTTAAGCAGGTTTTTTCTTCTTCCTTCAGGTGTCAGAACTCATTTAGGCTTTAGACACTGCCATAAAAGGCAATCAGAGCTTCTTTTCCAATCTCCAAAATCATTTTAACCCGAGTAATATCAACAGAGTCACATCATTTAAAGCCTTCTCCTAGCACCGTACAGCTGCTCAGGCAGTTAATTACAATATGTTCTCAATGAGAAGCTGAATAGGCAGTCACATTTCTGTGCTTCATTAAAATGAGCTTAGCAAAATTAGGCTGATAGGATAATGGGGATACCTTGTGCAGTTTCTACTATTCCCAGCAGCAAGGATTGTGCCAGATGTTGCCCTCGTTGTGTAAATTATATACCTTGTATTTGTTGACTAGGAATAGGTAATATGCATATACTTTCAGCTTACATCAAGCTGCTAAACAAATTATTTTAAAGCCTTATAAATGAATGCATCTACTTGTGCAAAATCAAAAACAAAAATAAAACAGTATATCTACTATCAAACTTACCATCTAGTGCTGAGAAGAGATGGGAACTTGAAATATTTTTGTTGGGAAAGTACGGGAAATGAACCACTCCACAAGAACAGGTGGCTTACATGAAATGCATCATTTTTGCATCTTTATAATTACAAGTAAAAATGTTATTTCTAAGCTTATGTAGTTCTCTCTTACTGTTAAGAATTTTTAAGAAAGAAATTCAAAGGACTTTAATGACATTGATTTGTCTGTTGCTGGTTCATTTGCAGTGGGTCAGATCCCCAGCGGTGGCATTTGTCTCATCCGTCTCTTAGAAAAAACAGCATGCAATTAACTACATGACATAAAATGACTAAGGGAACAAGCTGCCATTCAGGGAAACCTGTTTTAGGGGAGGAATTATCTTTGATTACAGAACAATCTGAAAAGAAAACAAACAAACAAACAAACAGTCAAATTTGTAAGTTATAAAGTTAGATCCAGGCCAAAGAGGTCCGTGTTTGGACCCATCCACTAACAACCTTTACTTTGTTAACAGAACAAAATAATATCCAGATCAAAGAAAACATGTTTTCCAGTTTGTTGTTGTTGTTGTTATTATTATTATTATTATTTATTCAGGCTGTGCCTCTTTGTTCCAGCTTTTCCTCTGCATGGTAACACATGAGGGACTTGGCACTCCCTAGCAGCTTTCTCTTGGCTTAGCATGGAGCTGCATGCAGAACAGATACAGGAGTGCAGGTTATGCTTTACCAAGCAGTGTTAGCAGTTTGTCTGAGTGGGCAATAAGGGACCAATCTATGCAGCTCCCATGTGTTGTGTCAACACCAGCAGAGAGGAAGAAAAATGATCTATCCTGTTCCAGAAGAAGGTAGTTTTTGTCCTCAACTCTGGGATTCCTGAAATAAGCTAAAGATTATCTAAATTGGAAAGTTCCAAGACCCCAAAAATGAACAAGGTTATTAATTCTGACTTCAGCTGGCTCATCCGTCTTTGGATGTAGCCCACTGGATATTGCAGACCAGCTCTGTTTCCAGAGGGAGCATGTGAGGCATATTCTGCTGGATACCGCAAACACTATGCTTACAATTTTGAGAGTCTCATGGTCAGATGTCAACTCAGAAATTACCTTTCAGCATCTCTTCCTTAATTAACTACACTGCAATGAAAATGACAAGTAGGAATCTATTTTATTTCAATAGCCAGGGTGGGGGGACAAGGGAATGGGGGTGAATAGGTGTCCCTTTCTTTCCTTTTAGCAAGAATTGTATTCTAAAAGTAAGTGAGTAAAGCAGTTGCTAAGAAAAGTAAGATATTCCTGACCCTGTTCATCACAGATATACCTATCATTAATATAGGTAATAAAATAAGGATAAAATAGGAGGGATTTCTGTTTTTTAAAAAAATTCTTGTTCTATACCAGTGGGGTGTGTACCTTAATGAATAAAAAACCTGCAATTCCAGTGTGTGCAGTTTTACTGTATTCAGAATTGCTGAAAATAATTAGCTGCAATACCAATTTCCCTTCTGGAACTAAAAAGCAGGTTGAAAGCAATGATGTTATTAAGAATACTTCCAAAGCAGTAAATACAGCTTTCTAATCATGTATAATGGCAGGCTAGACATCCACATTTGACTGAAATAAATAAATGTATCACTGCATATTCTATTTCAGTGAAAATATACATCCATCCATCCTACATGCAGCAAATGTGATGTATAGAAAACATTTTTCAAAACACTTAATTCCTTCAGCAATCAGTTCCTAACCTTCACTTTTGCTTCTGAAGTATTAAAAACAAAACACTACATAAAATATTGCTGCTGGTCTGTTATGCATCTTGATCTACTAAAAAGCTAGAACACTTTGTATATACTTTATATAGGTATAATAAACACTCTGGATAGAAGCCTACATCCTAGAAACAATGAGACTCTCACTGATGGGTTAGTTGTTAATTTGTTGGTAAGGCACTGGAGATCTTGCTGACATTCAGAACTCGGTCCATATGAAAAATATGAGTCAGTTGTTGTGGAGCTGCATTAGCAGCTGGACTATTGCCCTCAGCCCTGAAGCATGCTACTTCCATGCTCCCCAACAGGCCAAGCATATGGTCTAATAAGCACAAACAAGGATTAACATTTAATACTCTCTGCTGTTGAGGTAGTTAGTGTTTACCTAATGCCCTGCTGAGTGAAAACTTTATGAGGTGTATGTGTCCAACACTTCCCATACAGAATAAATATAACCATTAATACTCCTTTTGGCATAGTACGTAGTAATTATAATTCATATTTCTAAAGTCTGTACCATATAATAACAACTTTAATGATACATTTAGAGATGAGACCAGTAAGATAGAGTGGTGGCTAAGGCTGAACAACTCACAAATTTTGCAAATTTTATTTTCTTGGGGAACCCCAGTGATATAGACTGACTCATGATAACATCAACACTGTGTGTTCAGTGCTGTGTGCTGTTTCACGTGTCTCAGGGCAGGCAGTGCAAATCAGAACTCAGCCTCTTGGGAGGAGTAGCCTGACCCTGCAAACCACAGCTGCTGCCATAGGCACTCATACTCCCCCATTACTTTGGATAAGGAATTTTAATGAATTTATACACTTTTTAAAGGAAGATTAGACCATCAGATTAAATAATTTGACCCCTGGTATGAAAGTGAACACCAATGTTAGATGAAAGTTCCTAGTTCCTCACTTCCAGGTGACCTCACCTCTCTGCTCATGTTCATTAGTCATCCCCATCTGCCTACAGGCTTATCTTGACTCAGCATCGCACCTGGGTACATGGCAAGTTGCCCTTTCCTAATCCATTTTCTTTACCAGGGTATGCAATGACAGGACAAGGAGTAACAGATTTAAACTAAAAGAGAGGAGATTGAGACTAGCTATAAGGAAGAAATTCTTTACTTAGAAGGTGGTGAGGCACTGGCACAGGTTTCCCAGAGACACAGTGGATGTCCCATCCCTGGAGATGCTCAAGGCCAGGCTGGATGGGGCTTTGGGCAACCTGGTCTGGTGGGAGGTGTCCCTGCCCATGGCAGGGGGCTTGGAACTGGCTGATCCATAAGGCCCCTTCCAGCTCAAACCATTCTATAATTGTGTTAGGTGCTTCCTTATGTTTTCTCACATAGGCCTGATTTGTTAAGGGAGCAGGTGTGACTGCTTTGGCTCATCAGTATTTCATTAGCTTGGATGGGGCTTACAGAGTTTGTCAGGTGTAGTGCAGGTGCACCTATTGGTGGATTTCATCACAAGGACACCAGGTGGCTGACAAAGGTGTCTTCTAGCAATCAGGTAGCCCATTATTATAATTTTGTAGTATGTTTATGATTTCTACTTACTTTTCTAATATTCATAAGATAGTTATAACTCAAAAGAACTTCACTATGCAATGAAAAAGGTGGACAGTGAACAGCTTAGCTGTACTATGATAAGTAGGCTTCACCTTCTTAGATGACATTTAACACTCTCTCCACTTAAAAATAGACCAGGGTGTTAGCTCATATCTCCATGACTTTTCTGAGCTTAGAAGTTTTAGGTATTGCTTTCCATCTGACAAGGAAGACAGATAAGAAAATGTTTTTATTCAGGAAATCAGCACCAGGCACTGCTTTTCAGTGTGGCTTTATTTCTTTCTCTTTAGCACTTTGAAGGTTGTATCATCAGACCTGATAAATAGTAAATCTGTTATGAGAAGACATTTAGCACAGAGAACATTAGTAGCCTCGCTACTCCTGGCTTAAAACAAAACAAAAAGCTCTCCAATAATTAGAACTGTTTTCTTATGTAATTAAACCAAGCAGCTCATTAGCATTAACCATACTACACATTCGAATGATCCAATTTATTTTAAACTACAGATCCAAGCAGATCTGAGATAGATAAGGCCACCGTATCCTAGTTCTAAAATAATTCCCAATTTAAAACAGCCTTCTAGGCAGTTTCTGCCACATCAGACCACGTCCTATTACAAATGGAGTTACTCGGTAGACCAGACCAATTCAACAAGAAGGAATTAGAGAGAGGACGTACAAGCTTTTGACTCAATTCATTCTTTATGGGCATTTACTGAACTTAATTTAAATGTATCTAAGGACTAAAAAGTAAAACTGTTTTGGAAAACGAACTCTTCCCTTTGTGTTACAGATTTGTCTCTCTCCTCAGGGTAGCATCTGGCAGATTGTATGATACGTCACGCTGGAGTGCAGCTCCTGCATATTTAAGAGGCAAGCTGTAAGTACAAAGGCAAAGCTTAGAGAATGGTTTCTTTTGAGACAGCACTTTAGCCCCAAACACCAGCCAGATTTCTTGGCCCTCCTTGGCTTTAGCACTTAGACACATTCCCAGTAGTTTTATAATGCATCCAGAAAGTGACTGTGCTTGCATGATGGTGCAATGAACTGTCTGTGCTCCGAGCCCCAGGGCACCAGCCCAGATGACCTGTAATAGCTGTGTGTCTACATTAACACAATACTGGGCCTGACCTGCTTCTGCTTGGAGCCACTCTAAAATGGTCAAGGGGTTTTGGTCAACTCAAAGCAGAGGCAGAAAACAGTCGTGTCTTCATAAAGCATATTGTGTAGTGTCACTGGCTGCCACACTAGAGTGTCTCCTTCCAGGCAACTCCAGTGTTTATCGGTGATCTTTGTTAGGAGAGGATTTTGAGTTTAAATCCGATAAGCTTAAGTTATCTTTAAAGAGGAAGGTCATTTGCTGTGATCAGATGAGATGGCAGACACTTGCTTTTCAGAAGAGTTCCATTAAATGAAAAATAAACCTCTTACTGGTGAGAAAGTTTGCTCCAGATGCTAAAAATCTACATCCTTGTATTGATTCTGGACACACTCAGTAGACAGATTAATTTAAATGTTTACTGTATCTAATCGTTCATTACGTGTATCTGGATGTTTCATAAAGCAATTTACATTAGGTATAGAAAGATCAAGCGGTAGAGATGCAAACTATATATAACTTCTATGCAAGAGCATCAGAACATGACATTAATCTCCTTTGTAATTTCCTTTGCTCCCACTTTTGTCATACAAGGTGACATCCCCCACAGCAACTGGATGATTTATACTTTGTAGGGCAATTCTTAACTATCTTTAATATTGGTGTAGTAGCTCATCCGTCTTCAGGCAAATGATATATGCAAGATTATTTATTCAGGGTAGGCACTGAATCATTAAAAAAGGCTCATTCCTAATTAAATGCAGCATATCTGTGTTTGCCTCTCTGGTGTCAAGTAAATAATGTGTGTCTGTTACGAGAATATGCAACCCCACAAAATAAATGGACTCTGAAGTCTTATGGTGAAATACCACTCTGAAGCAGAATAAGGACTTTAAAAAAAAAATCTAAAGGGAACTTAAACTCTTATTTCCACAATACAGCGTTTTATATGAGTACTGTTTGATATGAGCATGATATTAGAAAAGTAGCTTCACCTATATAATCACATCTAATCTATTCTAGTCTAATAGAATGTCAAAGATTTTTATGTGGACTGCATGAAGGGCAGCATTAAGGTTTGTCCTTATCCACATATTAAAACCGGTATAAAGGATCACAGAATGGTTTGGGTTAGAAGGGACTTTAAAGATCATCCAACTCCAAGCCCCCTGCCATGGGCAAGGACATCTCCCACCAGACCAGGTTGCCCAAAGCCCCATCCAGCTTGGCCTTGAGCACCTTCAGGGATGGAGCATCCACAGCTTCTCTGGGCAACCTGTGCCATTGCCTCACCATCCTCTGAATAAAGAATTTCTTCCTGATATCTAATCTAAATCTACCCACTTTTAGTTTAAAGCCATTACTCCTTGTCCTTTCACTACACTCCCTGATAGTCACATAAAAATATGTTTTATTAACTTCCTTAGTATCACTGAGCTTATGATAGACTTGAAATTTCCTTGAATATTTGTTGCCACATTGATAAATGCTCTCAACTGTGACTGCCTTAAGTTTCTGTTTGCTTATTTATGTCTGGGAATGAATGAGGTTGGTCTTTTTGACTACACTCGGGTGAAGAGAAATTATGCAGAATCTGTTGAATCTTATGAGTGTCTGAAAGTCAGGTCAAAGGAGAAGATGTTTCATGCAGTGTGAGGAGTACTGATAACAGACCCAAAAGGCTACATAAGTTAAATATTGAGCCTGGGATTGAAGGTCATTAAAGGAGAATGACTCCTTCTTGAAGAAGAAGGATGTAGACCAAAAGGAAACCTAATCAAAGACTGACCAAACTTAGCATAAAAGCTTCTACAGACTTCAAATGTTTTTAACTCAACTTTTACAGATAGTCCAAACAAGATATTTTTTCCTCAGCTAAGCAAAGGTTTGAAGCAAAATTAAACTAAGCAGGTTTAAGAAAAGAGAAAAGTTCAAAAGCCAGTTGGTAAAAGGATTTTCCAAGGAATTATTGTTGGGAGTGAATGAAAAGTTTCCTTAAGTGGCCAAAGTTTAGTTTCTAGAGCATATCTGGTTCGGTGGCTTTTCAATGAGGAAATCTTGAAGCAAAACTGTTCTTCTTGGGCTGTGCATTATGTACAAAAAAAGGGAAAGGGTGAGTAACATCTACCATTTCTTGGCTTTAAATGGACAAATGCCTCTTCTACTAACCAGAAACAAAACCTCACCCTTGCCAAAAGAAATATTAGTAGGTCTTGCTTAGACACTGGGAAACCAGGACACAGACAATAATATTTTTCCCTGTTCATAAAGTGAAGATCTGAGAATACAGCTCCATAGTGTGACTCCCAAAACACTTTGTTCTCAAACACCATATAATATCTCTTAGGAAACTGGCATAGGAGAAAAAAAAAGATGAAAAGGCAACAACAACCTGAGAGTCCTGGAGACCTGTGGAGCTGATAAATAAACTTATCCTTTGAGAAGAGTCAGAAACCTATTCTAAGACAATGTAGATGAGGGAATAGTGATGTGCAATCTACTTCTGAAGTCTTTGGGAATAGTATTCTCTGTGACATCGGGACATGAGGGAAAAATGATGTGATTCCAGGGGAGGGGATGGGGTGGTGGGATCATGATACTTACTCCCAGTTAAGCAGTGAGCTACTGTTTCATGCTGGTTGGGTAGTGTTTTCTGAGGCCAACGCTGGGAGGACTTATTGAGGAGTATGCTTCCCTAGCTCCTTTTTAGGATGTTGTGCAGGGCACCATCAAAAAAAACCTTGTAAAGTCAGGATACGTGGTGCCTGCTGCTTCTCCTTCAGCCCGGACCTCTTGGTCGTTCACAAAAAGTGTTAGATTACTCTGAAGTGACATGGCAAATCCAAGTCCATAGTCATCTGCCATTTCATTGTCTTCTAGATGTTCACAGATATTTCCATTTTTTTTCGTGCTGTTCTTCTATTTATTGCCATGCTCTTATAACAAGGCTCCCCCACAGTATAACAATCTCAGTGCTTCAAATTCCTCCACAGTGACAGCAACAAAGATAGCAGCTGTCATCACCACTAAGCACAGGGCTGTCTTGACCATTTTCTTGTTTTCCTGTGATTCATTTATTTTCATGACAATAATGCTATCTATCTCATTTCACACCCTGGTGATTGCCTCCTTTGGGGTGATCTGTCAAGCCTCCTCCAAGCCTTCATTTTGGTAGGCCAACAAGGCAATTAACTATAGGAGTGCTAGAGTTCAATCTACATTACTAAAATCAGAGATGAGACACAGGTGGAGAGAAAGTTTGCAACAGTCTAAGGAATTCAGGGGTAGCAATGAAGGGCTGCCAAAACACAGGCTCAAAGATGCAGTTTTAAAATATTTGCCCTTAGTTTTTGTTTAAAATGTTCATATTCAATTGCCTGCCCAAAATAAATCTATATGCCTGAGAGAAGGGTCTAATCATTTTAAAGCACATTTGGCCACCTTGTGCTGAAATGTAAGGAAATACATGTAGAAACCAACAGTCTTAGAAGCCAAGCAAGTTGCTTGTTCTGATATCAAAATCATGGAGATATTGTTACAACCTTCAGTGTGTTTTGATTGAGAGCAGCCATCATCAATCCCTGCTATAAGGTGAATAGAGAAAGACAGTAAGAAGTAAAATTCAACCTGCTATACTGAAAAATATGCCCTGGTCATTATTTAAGTGTCAAGTGTAGAACAAATTACTGAAAATTTTTCTTCCATGGGAATTACACAAATAACTTTTCTCTTTGAGAAGTTGGGGTTCATGTTTTGTGACATTTTCCTTTCTTTTACAGGAATTGCCTCAAATATAAAATGTGTGCCTAAAGAAAGAAAAATCAATCAGAGCATAATAACTTATTCAATAGTATAGACCAGTGCTGCCACTGAAAATTGATAAAGGAATAATCAGAGTGCATTAGACCCCATCCTTCCCTGAATTACATGAATGCAGCTCTTGATGTACCAGAGACAGTTTTGATACTCCAGGTTCTATTAAAAAAGCATGAGTCCAAATCTCCTCCTATATTAATTTTATGCCATGGTTATTTCACACATTTTAAGGAGATCACTTTGCTTTTATACCAGTGACAGAGACACAGGAAACAACTTCCAGAGAAACTCTTTCTCTCCCCCATCTCCCTCCCAAGGGGAAAAAACTATAACTTGGATATAATAATTTTCAGAAACTGAGAAACAGGAGTCTTTTCTTTTTTGGAATGATGGTCTACAATACCATAAAGACAAATAACGGCCACTGATGAAGGTGCATTTATTGCAGTGACAACAAAATACAGACCTGAAATCCTCCCCCAAATTAAAACAAACAAACAAAACGTAATCAAAATATGTATCCTAACCTGGTTTAAATTAAATTAACTTTTAAAATATGAGTAGGGATCTGAAAGGGCAAGTTTCCTCCAGAACTATTTAGCTTTGGTTGTTGCTGTCTTTTTTCTTTTTTCTTTTTTCTTTTTTCTTTTTTCTTTTTTCTTTTTTCTTTTTTCTTTTTTCTTTTTTCTTTTTTCTTTTTTCTTTTTTCTTTTTTCTTTTTTCTTTTTTCTTTACCCTTCATTCAGTCTGCATCCTGAAGAAGGTCTCTCTGCTAATAAGGTTACTCATTCAACCCTTCTCACCTCCTGTAATTTGCCTAAATTACGGAAGGCAAATTAAGCCAGCTCAAAACAATATTAACAGACTGCTGCTACCATCGTAATTAAATCACAGCAGATGCAAAGGGACAATGGAGATTTGGTTGTAAATATATCAAGTGGTTCTGATGACAGTAATGCATTTTATTAGGGCAAACTATCATCATTTTTATGATCTAATGCACATTTACCCTTTTCTTGCCCTTCAATCACCAGGTAGCACATAAGGTAAATTGGATTCTTGTATGCTAATGTGTTTTTTTCCTAATTAACTGATATTAAGATTGTATTTTACATTATATGGTGGTTGCTCTTGCACCCATTCCAGGTGCTGTCAGTATGGGAAAATTACTGTTTTCAAGAGGTATTACTGTCCTGCACTGCCACCTCACCAACAGCCTCATGGAATGGGCTCCACAGGGAACACGAGCACTGAGCTCTGCTTGTCCTTGCTGTGAGCTTCAGTGTCCTGAGATAGACCCCCAGGAGGAGTTCCCCTGAGGAAGATATGTTGGAGTAATGCTGGTACCATGAGGAGCAAAGGGCAGCATCTTCTCATCTGGGAAGAGGCATGAATCCAGATTAGCAGCAGTCCCTGGAGATGTGCATTAATTAACAGTAGGTTGCTGCTTTGTCCAGACAAAATTTAAAAGCATGAAATAGGACACTTCATGTTTTATTTTTATTTCCCATAAAAAACAGCTACCAGCGTTTGCCATCAACTCTGTGGTTAGAGATGAGCATCAAGGAAGGATGGATATGTCACCTTGAAAACTCAAGTGAGGAAGAAGTTCCACAATGAAGATGGTTATAGTTTCTCATAAGGCCCTGCAAAACTGGATTTAATGGTGCCTTAGAATACATGAACTTGGGAACCTTTGGAAAGTGCGTGCTTGGTGGCTCCTTAGTGCCCTCCTCTTTTGGGATCTGCTCCAATGAATCCTTCTCTCACCATGTTTTCAGGCCAGGTGCTGCAGTGTTAGCAGTGGACCTGAGCACTGCTGCACCCCAAAGCCTGACCAGGATGAAGCACACGATAGGGTGTTTATACCTGCAGCTTACTGTAGGGTTATTGGACATAGCTCATCTCTTTGGGTATTTATCAGGCTACTGCAGTGTGGGTGGCTGACCTTGGTGATATCAGTGTTTTTCTCATTCCCACGGGGCTCTGAGGTTTACTCGATGCTGATATCCTTCATTTGATTTCAGCCCCGTTGGCTTTCTGTGACACCTAGTCTGCAGATCTCTACTAGTTCAAATTTGAGAAATAAAATCAGCTCAGCGAAAACAAGGCTCTTTTCCTTAGCTTGCAGCATCAATCAAAGCAAACAAGGGGAAAAAAAGTGGAAATGGAGTGTGACATCTGGGGAAAAGCTTTCTTTTGATCTCTCTTGATATTGTTGGCTACAGCTAAAGGGGAAAACACAATTCTTTCTTTACTCTCTGGTATGTAAAGTAATTGTTTTGAATAAAAGCAGAAGTGGGATGCCTACATAAAACAGCCTACGCTGGGGAACAATGCTGTGATCCTGATGTGGTACAAACCACAGGAGACAGCTTATCTGATGGGAAGACTTAATTAATAAGTTATGTTCATCCAGACTGAATATTAGCTATAAATTGTCCAACAAATCTTAATTATGTCAGAGGGGCTGCAAGATAAGGAAATGATTTAAATAGTGTAGAGACCTCCCATTGCATTCCTCCTCCTATTACAATACTGTATGTGCTTGCTAATTTACCTGTATATCATATCCATTGACTAGATTAAATATAAAAGGCTTAATTTTTACAGTGATAATTATCTCTTCAGTGTTACGCATGCAGAGGTAATTAATAATTGCAGTCCAGGAGAAAGATAGCCCTACTGTCTTCTCAGGTTTGATCTTCTGATTTGAAGATCTGAGTGGTTTGTGGCTGTAGAAGAGGTGCATGAAAACATCCTAGATAACAGTACACTTTTTATAATAACTACTTTTCCTGTCACTATGCGATAGGAACTGTAATCAGAAGAAGACTTGTCTTGTAATCAGAATGAACAGAGAAGATGTTTTGATCATAGGTGATGTCTAAACTCTCAGTTATGAAGTTTAGTGACCTACTAAGCACATTTTTTTTGCTTTTAAGGCCAAACAGCAGCTTTTCCCCCGGACCAAATGATGGCTTTGTCAGCCTAACCCAGGGGCTTAGACAAATAAAAATGCCATTTGCCGGGTTGTTCTTCCAAACCCTGTACAGTCAAATCCCTTATCTCCATATAGTCAGAGAATTCAGATGCATTCATGACTTGGATGTTTTTTTTTTTTTTCAGACAAAAAATGCCAACATTCAACCTTCCAGAGTGTGACAATCTGTACTTCATGCAGGGGATCTCCACATGAAAACTAGAACACAACAGTGTAAGGTAGCTACCCATGTCTGGAGGAGCATATCACACCTTCTGGAGTATACTACATTCAGGCCTGACACTCATCTCACTTTCCATGGTGTCTTGGCTGGCTAGACAACCCTATTCCTTCTTACCATATGGTGATCTGAAACTGGTTAATCACACTGACGTTACCTTCCATCTAGATGGACTGTATGCTGATTTACATGCTGGCAATCTGTGGAAATTCCCGTTAATGTAGGACACCACAGTGGCCTCTGCAATCAGACAGGCTACCTATCACTGGGATTCCACTTGTCTTCAAGTTGTCCTGTGAGGCTTATTTGTTGTTCTAAACAATTTGGGTTAATACAGAATACAGGGAAGATACTTTTATGTCATTATATATACAATAATATCTCTAGATATTTTCTTTTTCTGTGGCTTGAAGAGAAGAGAAGAGAAAAGTACCTTAGAAAAAAAAATGAGGAATCACAGCATGCATCTGTCTTTAAATCTTGTTAATTTGTCAGACATTGAGATAAGCATTTTAAAAGTTTTTTTTTTTTTTTATCATTATTAATTTATTATTATTATTATTATTTTATCTTTTGATTGTGTGGTACACCTTCATGCAGCAGAAATGGGATATCTTTTAACTGCTGCTCTGAACATTTCAGAACTTGAGGAGCATTAGATCTTCATCCAAAGATACAATGTGGTCTATGTCACAAGCACATGATGACTGGCATCTAGCTTTGAACTTTGTCCTTGGACAAACTGCAGTGGTCCATGTCAAAATCATACAGTAGAACCCGTTTCACCTCCTGTCTCAGGTCTCTCCCCCTCTCAGAAAATGGATTTTTATTACTGAATTAAAGCAAAATTCACTAGAGTCACACAGGTGCCCTTAAAAACTGAGAAACAAAGTGGTTATTACTAGTTTTTCTATATTAGCAAATTGCTTATTTTTAAAATATTTCTCAGGAAGGGCTTTTTTTTTCTCTCTTTTTTTTTTTTTTTTTCCTTTTTCTTTTTTCTTTTTCAGGTCCCTAAAATAAAGCCAGCAGTTCCAAAGGGGGTGCTAGTACTTATATTTATGATCCAATAAACCTTATACAGCAAAAGATTGCATCTGTCTATACTTTTTGGCTGTTTTGTGGGAGCTGATGCCAACAGAAATCAAATAGCTAACTTCTGAGAATGCCTCCTTTTGGTTTATTGTCTCATTTTGTTTTATGAATGCAGCCTCCTTAGCCTTTTTATTCAGTCTGTCCATGTTGTGGTGCCTGCTTCTCTAGCTATTCATGCCATCATTTACACTATAAAATCCAGGGGTTCTATCTGGCCATAAAAATATCCTCATACAAAATTTGTGAACCTCCACAAAATGAATTTAAAATAAAAATAATAATAAAAAAAATCATGCATTTGTAAACAAAGCAGTAAACAAAGCAGTTAGTGCTTTTCTGTAATGTAAAAAACAAAAACAAAAAACAAAACAAAACCAAAAACAAACAACAACAAAACAATAATATAAAAGAAACCATAAAAATGAAAAAGGATAAAATCCTACTCTTGTCTCAGTTGCTAGACTTCTGTGTAACCAGCAAAGGAGCAAATTTCTCCAGCAGAGGAAAACCCATACAAGGACTGCATGTGCAAGCTTCTGCTCCAGAGAAAACACTCCTTATATTCAAGGAGGACACTGCAAGAGAAAAGAACTGGGGAACTGAACTCCTATACCAATTCTTATTCAACATATAATCTCACAGGTCAAAGGGTGTGAATGCACACAGGCTTGGGAGGAATGAAGAAGGGGGGAAGGAGAAAAATATAATTTTCCCTGAGTAAAATACAAGTACCCTCAATATACATGTATGTCTTCCCCTCCTCCTAAGAGCACAAATTTCTATCAGATCTTTTATGAACCTCATTTTGATTGCTGGTGGTCCTCCATGCCTTTTCCTCCGGAGGCCTTGCATGTACGCACATATTCCAGTTCTTGTTTGCTGTGTCTGTGCCTTCTGTTTTTCAAAGCTAATAGGCATACCTGATGTTTTCTATTATTTTATATTCCGGATAAGTTTTTCAGCAAAATCCTTGTGAAAAATTGCATTATGCAGCTTTAATTCACATGCTGCAAGTTGTCCCATGGAATTACAGGCCTGTGATTTTCTTCCTTTGCCTAAACAGAAAATGCTTCATGTAAGGCGGGGATGTCAAATGCACTCAGAGAAAAAAGACAATCACAACTTTTAGCCATGGTCTGTAGTCTTCATCTGTAAAGTTTGAGCTTCATATTACACTCAGTAAACAATCTGTCTTTAAACTAATTATAGACCACTTGCTCATGCAAATTGCAATATCCCAAGTGGAGCATACCATTACAGTAATTGCATTTACAAATGATGTGCGCATGCCTTAGTCTTTTGGGAAACGTATTTTTCCTCCACCTTCATTAATCTTAAGATTCAATGCTCTGTTGAGATGAAAGGCCTGTTCACACCTCAGGCTCTTCAAGACAGCTCTCCATCAATCCACGCTGGAGAGCTGCCCCATGAAGCAGTAGGAGAAGTGGGCATTCACCGGTGATTCTCCAGATCCAGGTATTACCCCTGGTGTGGCAGTTCATGTCTGAGTGGTAAGTGAATATAAAATGCCCTCAAGTGAAATGGGAACATTTTTACACCTCCTCTGTTCTCAAAGAAATTGCATAAGAAGAATGACAGCATCAATATGAAGTTATAGTTTAAAAAAAAAAAGAAAAAAACCTGTGATTTTTGGGAAAGAGGTGCATAAGAAGGTGAATAAGGTTGCAAAATAAACAGAGATTATAGTTTTCCCATCACCTTTCTTCTAACATTTATTTTTGAGAATTAAGAATCTCTTTGCAAATACAAGTAGTAACAGAGAGAAAATTACCTCATAAGCCAGTTCACTGCCTCTAAATCTTTCTGGAGAGAAAGCCCACAACCATTTAATAAATAGAAAGGGAGTTCAGGTTAAGAGGAATAAAATATCACATTAAGAAAGCATTTTGCATGCATAAAATGTAATATGATGTATAGAATTTAGACATGCTTTCAGCACTTCAACTCCATGGCTTCTTCCAGAGCTGTGATGAAGATGTGATGGTTCAAGAAGCCAGCTCTAGGAAGATTTCCCTGTTCTTAGAGATAAAACTCTAATTCCAATAAAAGGTGTTTTAGGCTTAGGAAAAGGGATAGGGACAGATTAATATGTATACCAGATTGATCTAACTGTATATATTTTAGAGAGGGTCTGCTAAGGTATTTACAGCAGAGAAATGAGCAGTTGATTTTGACAGAAATTTCCTTTCTTTTGTGTGGGGAGCAAAACTTCCAAAAAGGGATGCGACTCCATCCCACCAACTTTGTAGCCACATCAGCTCCTACCAGAAATTCAAAGAGAATGCAGGGTGCTTGCAAGGCGGAAAAACAAAACAAAACATTAGGAACTATTAAGGCTGTTGGGGATATTCAAAAGGATTAAATGAAATCACAACGGCAAGTGCATGGAAAGCCAAACAAGATCTTAAGCAGTCTATAGCTTAATGACATATCCCCTGAGTGATGGGAGACACTGTTATTCATAGAGAGAGCTCAGAAATATGCTAATTTCTTTTGGAGGAAGTCAAGACAGAAAGGGGAGATGCTTTCAGTGAGTAAATCTCTCTGAAGCTTTCCCTGGGAAGCAGGTAAGAAGCAAATGAGATTGATTGCGAAGCTCTGTGTCAGCAAACAGAGTGGTGGGTAGAATTGTAAGCAGGGAGGACAATGGTCTGCAGGTGCCCTAAGCAGGGCAGTCGGGGCAGTGTAAGCCTGGCTATGACATTTTTAGCTGCCACAAAGAATTAGAAGAGACCTATCTTTTGGCTGGGCTTTTGGGACCAGCCAGGGCAACAGGGTATGGGATGTCTCTCGGCTGTAGTTGGCAGTGGGAATTTGCATCTCCAGTGCTTATGGCTGGGTAAGGTGCTGGGGCTGCTTTCACAGCAGCATTGTGAGTCAGTGTTAAGAGCTGTTGGGAGGACACTGTTATTCATGTAAAGCTTCTCTTAATCATTTCAAAGAAGCTGCAGAACAGCAGCTGAACGAATGTGGCAGAGTACATTAAGAGGATTGTTTGGTCAAGTCAGTATGGGACATTGGCTAGAAATGCTGCAATTTCATTCCCAAGAAGGGAAAGCAATACATTTAAATACATCTGGATGTGAATTCTTCTAATCCTGATAATTCCCTTTCCTTCCAGCCTCCACTGGCAGCACTGTCACGTGGAGAAAATATAAGTACATTCTTGATCGGCCTGTATTAGTGGCATCTTTGCCATGGACTTTGGAGTAGAGGAGTCAGACTGAGCTATCCCATGTGCAGAGGGTCCTCAGCCGCTCAGAAAGGCTCAGAAAGCAGAGAGCAGCTCTCAACTTATCCCAGGCTAGCTTGGCTCCTGGATCAGCTACCCGGGATTCAGCTCCTGGAGCACTGCTGAGTCCTTGCAGGACCTGGGCTGAGAGCACCTCACCAGCCACGCACAGGTGGTGGTGGAGACACTTCTGCAGGAGGTGTCCTCAGGCTTGAGGGTGCCATTTGTATTGGCTTTACCTGGCAAGGTTTTGTCAGTGGAGGGACTGCAGGGGTGGCTTCTTGACAAGAGTCCAGAAGCTGCACCATGTGAGATAAGAATCAGTTCCAGACAGTGAGAGAACCATCCCTGCAGCCCCCAGGGTGTGGAGGAGCACTCGGTGGAGCAGGCCGCGGGCCAGAGCTGCAGCCTGTGGAGAGGAGCCCACGCAGAAGCAGGGGGGCTGGG